TTTATCACTAGGAAACCAACAACTACTATCCCTCCAAGACAGTGCTTCTTAGGGTAGCACTTCAGAATCACCTGCGGAACTGAACCCTAAACACCCAGAGGTTCACCCCATGAGGTTCGTGAGCAGAGTTAGGGCACCTGTGCTCCTTCCTCCCCTGCACTCCCCCTGCCACCCCAGTGATGCTTATTAAAGGCAATTTTGAGGTTCACCTAACCCAGGCTGAGAACCACATTTCCTGTCTCTAGAACCAATTTCAGATTGGCAAATATCACCATCACTAAATATCCCTGTTTGGGCATAAAGCTGTTCAGTCAGCTATGTGTACACTCAAAAATTTTTTATTGAGCATTTGCTACATGTTAGTCACAGTGCCAGGTACTGGACACTCAAAGATAAAACAGAATGCTGTCCTAAGACAGGCACATAGCTACTTTGTAATACAGTATTAGATGGTTAAGGGTGAGAAAGTCTAACCTGGTTTGCAGCAGTTTAGAGGTTACTACCCAGTTGTTTCAACTGCTCTTCTATATGACCCTTTTTTTTATTACTTTTTATATTACTGAAATTATAAATTTCCTTATTCATTTACTTTTATTGTCTTCCTTTTCCCCACTAGAATGTAAGCTCCTTAAAGAAAGGGTTCTATCATGTTCACTGCTTTACTCCCTAGTTCTTAGAACAGTGGTAGGCAGAGCATTAGCTCAAATACATTTACTGAATGAATGAATGATGTCCAACAAGCACTGAAAATTAATGAACCAATGTCAATTTGGAGAGCCTCCCACTGCATGCCCAGGGTTCTATTCAATACTTGGAAAAAGGAGGCACCACCGTACAAAAGAAAGAACCTGGGCTTTAGAGTAAAACAGACCTGGGTTTGAATACTGCTTTGCCTCCTGATGTCTGTGTGCCTTAGCGCAGGTTAATTTTTCTAAGCTTTAGTTTACTTCTCTGTAAAATGTGGACATAACTGTCACTTTCCAGGGTCACTGTGAAGTTCAGAGATAATATAAGTAAAATGGTTAACATTGCTGTTGAGAGGAAATTGGTAGCATCTTCCTGCAAGGCAATAAGGGAGAATCTAACCAAAATTTTAAACGTGCATATTCTTTGACTCAGCCCTCCACTGCTAGGAATCCCTTGCAAAAGAATCATAGGCACGCACAAAGATACATGGTACAGGGGTGTTTTCTGCAGCACTGTTTGTAAAAAGAAGAATCTATAAAGTTTTAAAATATCTAACAATAGGAGACTGATTATACCAACTACATCGAAGTATCTATCATAAATCCTGGTGAAGGCAATCAGATATATAATAGTAACATATAACAATAGCATTGGCATGTACTGAACACTTGTATGTATTTCCTTCTCACAATAATCCTATGAGATCATACTATTCCAGATGAGGAAACAGACCTAAAGAAATGATGCTGAAGTATGAGTGTCAACATTCTGATTATTATATTATAATAATTTTGCATATTATAATTTTGCAAAATGTCACTATTGTGAGAAACTGGGAAAAGTGCACAGAGGATCTCTCTGTATAATTTCTTTTTGTTTGCTTTGTTTTTTATGTTTTTCTTTTTAATGGGGGGAGGTAATTAGGTCTGTTTGTTTGTTTATTTTAATAGAGGTACTGGAGATTGAATCCAGGCCTCTGTCCATGCTAGGCATGTACTCTACCACTAAGCTTATACCCTCCCCCTCTGTATTATTTCTTAAAACTGCATGTGGACTTACAACTATGCCAATAATATTTTCAATTCAAAAAACAAAACAACCTATAACCTGGCTCAAGGCTGGCAACTGGAGGATACAAACAGCTTACCTCCACCATTCTCACTACACATAGAAGATACGGGTTCCATGATAACATCTCAAGAAGCGATTTCTCATCATTCATCTTTCCTTTCACTCTCTCTGCAGCCTCTCCATGCTAAACCCTCATTCTTTCCTTATCCTCAAACTTATGTATTCATTCCTGATTCTGCACTTTGCTCAAGCTTCTCTCTCTGCTTTGAGTATCTTCACTTCATTTATTTTAGTTCTTTAGTTCCTTTTACCTCATGTCACAAACCCTTTCCTGGTCACTTTACATAACTGCGCTCTGTCCCTCTTTTCAATTCACGCTTAACAAACATTTCCTGGAGTATCTACCATATTGGGCCAACCCTTCTGCAACCCTGATGGCTTTTTAAAACTATTTGGTAATTATTAAAATAAATTAAAAACAAAAATACTTTGTTTACCAGAATTAGTCACATGCTACCTGAATCACACGTATCCCTTAATTTCCACTAAAATATAATCTGTCTAAATGAGGGAATATATATAAAGTGCTTGACCTAGGTAAGTACTCAATAAGCAAAAGCAGAACATAAAAAATACAAAAAAGATTGTCAATTAGGCATTGTATAGAGCAAGAAAGCATGTGACACATGTCAGTTAATGACAGGCAAGACCCTGTTCTAAATGTTATGACACTGTTTAGATTCCTTTCCCTACTCAAGATAACAGAAACCATAAAATCCTTTTCGTAAAAATGTTTTCTTTGTCACAGCAAAAAATACATATATATAAGGCTGTCAGAAAGGACAGGCTATTTCCAACATCATACAGTTTGTTTGCTGGTGCCTCCAAAAGAGAAATTTATCACTCAAGAGAATGAAATCCATTGAAATGTTCACAAGAAAAATGTTCCATCTACAGAGTATGCTGGCAGGTTTTTCTAGAGGTGGCTGCTGGCTGACCCCAGGAGCCTGAAGTCCTGGGGTCAACAGCATCCTGATGTCACTTTCACACACGTACCCTCCATGGGGTAAAGTATGGCTTCTTAGGTCTGCAAGAATTCGGGCTGTACTCGGGCCACTTTCCGGAATTCTTTAGTGTGGGTCTTAGGGCACTGCATCTCACACCAGCTGATAGGAACCATCTGGACACCTGGAAGGGAAAAGCTGGTGTTGGAGCTTGGACTTCAAATATTTGCTTGAGATTCTTCTCTTTTCAGCTGGGAATGAACTGAAGTGTCAATATGCTGCCTAGTGAACCTTCTCTCACACAGGAAAAAACCCTGTATTCCACTGATTTGCGGAGTGAGTACCTCCTTTCCTTAGATTATACAAGGAGTATCATTTTAACCTCAGTAATAAGTATCTATACTCACAATGCTTTCTAGATAATTAAAAACAAACAAACAAAAAAACAGAGAAATGAGGGAAAACAATGGACTAACCCTAAGCCCTAGCTCCCAGGGAAAGATAAGCACGTAGAAGGATGGACAAACTCACCCGATTCACTGTGGGCCACCACCACTCCTAGCTCATTTTCGGCAGTGGTCAGCAGGTAATTGGACTGTGCATCACCTAGGGAGATCTAGTGACATAATATCCATAAAGGAAAACAACGGGATTTAAGTCTTCCCTCCCACAGCCACCTGAGTGGTTTCTCTACTTGTATTTCTTCTTTTTTACAAAGGACTGTAAGTCTGCAGGGAATAAAGGATACTACTTTGGCCAAGACGATGTCTCCTGGGCGAAAACTCTTATAAATTTCAACCTGTAAAGAAAGGAGTGTTAAGTGAAAGCTCCAGATCAGGTCTACATGAAACTATTAACCCCTTTGGTAGAGCCAGTCTACTTCTACTTCCCAGAGGATTAGAAGTCAGTGTTATTCAAGTCAATCAACAACTTTTACTGCTTCTGTAGCATCATGATATAAATGAAGGATTTTGAACTCAGTAACCTAATCAGGAATCTGACTAGGACAAAAGGTACTATAGTTGCTCCAAAAGGGTCTAAAGTAAGCCTAAGGGAACAGCAAGGAATAAATACCTGGCTTCGAAGGCAAAGCATAAACTAGCCCCGGCTCTGGTCAACAAACTGAACAAAAGTCATACGAAAAGCAAAGGGACAGTGAAGTGAATTCCATACTTTCTAGTAGGAAACACCTTAGAATTCCTTGGACTCCACATATACACAGATCTTTGAAATTTACTGAAATAATTTACAAGGAATGAAATTCCTAAAGCCATGAGAAAAAACAATCAACCAACAACCTTGTCTTTTTCAGTAGCTCGGACATCTTCCTTGCTGTAAAAAAGAGAATTAACAGAAAATTAATTATCTGTGAGAAAGAATTATCCTGCAGACTCCTTGCAGGCAAAGAGCCAAAAGAACAGAGAGAACCAGTTGTAACTGGCACCCAGCTGCCACCCAGAGAAGTAGAGCAGAGAAGTATCCCTAGTCCTCAACAGAAGGAAAAAAAACCACTTTGCCCATTCTTGGATCACACAGAGCAGCAATATCAATACCTCTCACTAGAGAAGAGTAGATCAAATTTGGTAGGAAAGGATAAGGAACTTGGCTGCCTTAGGAGAGCTTGAACAGAAGTACCACAGAACCACACAGAATCCTGAGGGTGGAAAGAGCCTCAGATGTTAAATTATCTAGCTCACAAGAATTGTCTGTCCCCTCTCAAAGAATCCATAGGAAAAAGAATATACCATTTCACCCACCAACCTTTTCATTGTCTTACAATTCTTGGGTTTACTCTATATTAAATTCAAGAAAGAAAGATACTTCCTAATGTGCCTTCTACTTTGTTTGATAGGAATCATCCCCACAGTGCTAATCTCCAGCTTAGATCAATTCTTTTTGTTTTATTTAAAGCCCTATCTCATTAATATTTCCTTTTGTCCTAACTAACATATTATAACATTTTCTTTGGATACTACCTGGGAGAATCAAACCACACAGAGGAGAGAAATAGGCAGGAATAGGGATTGTAATTGTTCTAAAAATTCCAGTCTCCTATTCTATCCTAGTCTCATTCCAGGTGCTGAGGCAAATATAAAGACAAAAATCCTTCGTACCGGATAGTTCCTCGAAAAGAGTTCTTAAGTGGTGTGGACCCCACATAAAGGATGTGTACTTTGGCAAAGCGTGAATTAATGCTAGAGACCTGTGGAATACAGAAAAGAGCAACATTAGAATATTAGTGGTTGTCAGCTCAAGGAGGCAGGAATACACTAGGAACTACCATGATTTTAGTCCAAGCTACCATACTAAGTACAGAATTTAACACAGGTTAACTCCTACTTATCCCTGCACAACTGATATACACAAAGTGGAATAAGAGTCACTCTGGCCACCTAATAGAGTTAGTGTGGGAATTGAGTAAAATAATATGGTGGGGGAGGAAAATATTTCAGTGGTAGAGCCCACGCTTAACATGCACAAGGTCCTGGGTTCAATCCCCACTGCCTCCATTAGAAAAATAAATGATAAGGTACAGATTTTGAAAAAAATTCAAGTCTAACATTAAAACACAAGGAAGTACAGCAAATCTAGCTAGACCTTCAACAGATCTTACTAAGAGCCATGTAGCGTGAATGGAATTTAAGACTCCATTTCAGCTGCTGCATAATATTTAGATCACCGCCTCTCCAGTTATTTTCAAAATAACAAAATAATAAATAAGCATAAGTAGATTTTCTTTTAGAGCAATTTATAGAGAGAAACTAAGTTAGTTTAACTGGCAGAGTGTGGAGATGAGCAGAGAGTACTGATGTATTATAGTTACTGATCAGTACAGTATTAATCTGTACTTCTCAAAGACTTTATAAAATTTTTTCTCTGCAGAAAAAGGTTTTGCTTCAGATGTTCAAAAATAAGCCTCCTTATCACCCTTTGGTGTTCGTTTCCCAAACAAAAGTAAAACTACATGCTGAGGAACTAGCTCTGTGAAAGAACTATGCAAGCCTGAACTTGACCACATTGTTAATTATCCTAGAAATCTCTAGATCAATACAGTCCAGTAAAACTTTCTGTGATGATAAATATTACATGTTGACCAGTATGGCAGCCACCAATTACCTATATAGCTAGTGAGCACATGATATGTAGCTAGCGGAACTGAGGAAATAAATTTTAAATTTTGTGTAATTTTATTTAAATTTAAATCGCCATATGTGGCTACTGGTTACCATATTGGACAGTGCAGTTCTGCAATGATCATGATTTCACCATTGGTAGGTATCCTAAGCAAGGAGGTTACAATCAACTTACCTTACAGGTTACAATAGATCCCACATCTGGCAGTAACTGGGACTCTGTTTCTCTCATCACAGATATGACAGGAAGCTACAGAGAGAGCAATAAAACATGAGTATCCTGGCTAAGCCTCGGGTAAAGGTATCTGCGGCTTTAGAGTAAATACAGGAATGTGTTGGTCCACAGTTGAGGTCACAAAGGCAGGTGGACTACATATTCATTTGTAGCCCAGAGCAGAAAGCCTTAGAAATTCTAGGACACAGGATGGCCAAGGGGTCACAGGAAGAATGCTGCTAGAAGGCATAACCTAACCATTTCAGATGAGTTCTAAATTGTTTTGTGATTTTCTTAGAATTTCTCAATATACAACCATATTGTCTGTAATCATGGATAATTTGACTCTTCTTCCTCCAAAGTTGTACCTTTCTTTTTGTCACTTTACTGTACAGGCTAGAATTTCCAAATAAAATGTTCTATAGTAGTGGCCATACTTGTTCACTTCTACTTTAAGGGATTACTTGTAGAATTTCCTCTTTGAGCACAGTATTGGCTATTGGTGTAGGAATGATATTTCTGAGCCTCATTTTTATTAATCTCTCCCTTGTTCGCTAAGCTTCAGGTCTCCTAGCCTTTTTTCAGTGTCACCAACTCACTAAATTTCTTCCTATCTCAGGTACTCTGCTCAATTCGTTCTATCTGCTTACCCACCCAACTCTTATCTATGCTTTAGATTCAGCTTAAATGTCACTTTTGACTAGGGTGGATTTGCCTATTCCATGTTCTAATGGAACCCTGTAATATTCTTTCAAAGTAGTCATCACATTTGTAAGCATACATTCATTTGAGCATTTACTTGCTTACAGTATGTGTTTGGCCTCTTGATAGCAGAGACCTTGTGAATTTGGCTCATTACCATATCCCAAAAGGTCAGCACTGTGCCTGGCACATGAAAATGCTCAACAGATAGCTAAGTGTCTACCTATGAAATGAACAAACTTTCAAATCCGAAGGAAATTCCCAGAATAGATTAAAAAGTCTCTTATTTTACAGATGAGAAAGAACCTGAAACCAGAGAGTTTAAGTTTCTCACCTAAAGCAGAATCAAGTTTTAGTCAATACTGAAGTGTTCTAACTCTGAATCCTCTTTCTGCTACGCTCCTTGTCTTTAAGCTGCTCCTTCAAAAACTGCTTATCTGATCCTGAGCTAGTCATAGATCAGCCTCTGGAACTAGGGAGAATATCACCACTCGGGCATTCAACAAACATCTATTGAGCGTTTAGCTTGTGCTAGGCGGGGAGCTTTACGGCGGTGAGGCCTGCTTTCATGGAGTTTAGTAAGGGAAGACTCTAATGGGGAATGTATAACAGTGTTAAATTATACGGTGAGTTAAGTGCTTAGAAAGGGAGGAATATAGCTCTTTGTGAGAGTTCAACAAAAAAAACCAACAAAAACTCCCTTTTTCGACTAGTAGTGTCTTTTTTTTCTGAGAAAGTGATACTAATGAGGCTGCCTGAAGGGTAGGCAGGAATTAAATAGGCTAAGAAAGAAATGGCGTGTGTACAAAGTCGCTGTGGCGCACTGGTGACACTGAAAGAAGCCAGTATGACTAGATAGCAGAGTGAAGCAGGGGTGGCGGAGGGAGATGAAGCCGGAGAGGTCGTCGACATTCGTACAGGATTCAGCTCACTGCAGGGCTGAGCTCGCCTCCACACTTCCTCCAGCTTGCTTCCCCAGCAACATAGCCAAGCCAGACCAACACAACTGGACTGTGATGGCTAAGTGTCCAGCATCGAGGACCACAGCTGTTAGAAACTTAAAGACCAAATCCTTCTACTGAACAAGGCACTAAAGACGTGCCCGCAGGGCCCCTGCCTGAGGACCGTGAAATCAAAGATAGCCTAAGAGAAAGGCAGAGACGGAGGAGAGGGGAAGCCGACCCCTTACCGCGCCGTTCTCGCTGCTCTTCGTCATGCAGCCAGCAAGCGACGAAAAGATGTAGCCGTGCCGGGTGTAAGTGCCGCTGCCTGGGCTGCCCTCCTCCAAGTTACATAGACGTTCGCCTGCGGAAAAACGTTGCATCAACCACGGGTCCGCAGAAGCTGTTGGCTGTCCAGCCTTCCTGCCTCCGCCCCCGCCCAGGAGTTGCTCTGGGCACAACTAACTTACCGGGGACGCAGTACCTCACGGGCGGCGCCATGACTGCCTCTGTCCCAAACCCGGAGGAAAACGAAGCCGACTTCTCATTGGCCAACATCCAGGTGCAGTTCCGCAGTAAGAAACACGACAATTGGTGTGATCTATCACGTGATCTCTGGGACCTCCCCCCTGGGAGAGAAACTCCATTTCCCAGGTTGCCCCGGGACGAGTACGGGAACAGGGCTCCGGAACCCCTGCGCTTGCGCTTGCGCCTGTGGACCAGGGTGGGCTGGCGGCAGGTCCCGGTCTGCAGGCTGGAGCTGTGGGCGGCGGGCCATGGTTGGTTGGATTGAGCCGGGCCGGGCAGGGGTGGCAGTGAGCGGCGGCGGAGGCTGTGGGATTCGATTTAGCTGATTGAGGAGTCGGCCGGTGGCAGGTAAGAGCGAAGCCGCGGCCTTCGCTGCCCAATCCTATCCCTTTTTCTAGGGTCCGGCCCTGTTCCGGGGCCATGTCGTGAGCCCGAGTTCCTGCTCTGCACAGGCGTGCCCTCAGAACCGGGCGGAGCGCACTCTTAAGGCGCGGAACTGGAAAGAGAGCAACCAATGCAACACACCCATTTCACAGATTTGGAAACTCAGCTCCAGAGATAGGATTTGACTTGTGCAATATCTTTAAGGTAGTTCAGGGTAGAGACCAAACCGGTAGCCAAGTTATTTTATTTCCAGTCCATCATACTTTGACCATGCCAACCTCATTGAGAAATAAAACCTTTTCCCGGTTTTTATAATTGCAGTTTCACATCTTGCGGTCGGATCCTGTCAAGCGGAGCCTGTTAGTGCGGAAGGGAAGTCTGCACATGAATAAAATGCTGCTCTTACTGATGATTGACGTCTGCTGCTTGAGACAGCAAACATCCTGAGAGCAGCATCTTTGTCCAAATGAGATTTGTCGACTTTCATCTCAGTTTCCTCTGCCGCCTGGTGGCTTTTGGAATCTGTGTTTGTACTCCCCTCCACTCCCCCTGCCCCCCTCTTATCCCCCATATCTGGTTTCCCCTTGGGAAGGAGATGGTGACTAGAGCCTTGGGAAGAGGGGAATGCTGTGGCCAGATCCCCTCTGATCCGGTGGCAGATGTTGCTATGGCCTGTGGCTCCTACTGAGGGATCAAGAATGCTCAGGGCTTGTGCTGGGGGGTAACAGTGAAGCTGTGCGTTACTCTATTTCCCACCCTGTTCACTTTGATCAGCACCCCTTGCCCTCACCACACACCATATTTTGAGTTCTGCTTTACCTCAGTTTCCTGAGATGAAAACTTCATTTGTTCAGTTGTGGCATCTGCATACCCCACAAACTCCACTAGCTAAAATAAGGGGAGGGGGGCTGGGCTTCAGACTTTACACACATCTGATTTGTAGCTCTGCATCTACAAGCTTTCAGTTTACATGTTTGGGTTGATTTCTGGTTCGACTAGTTTTCTAAAGGAACTTCTAGCTCTTAAGTGCTATGATTCTGAAAATGGTTTTCATTTCTCTTTATTGATAATGAAGAATGTAGCAGCAGACGCTTATTAAGTGTTATCACATTGGCAGGAGTGTCTTTGCTGTTAGTTGTAGGAGAAAGAGACATCTGACCAGCCTTTCCATTTTGGCATCCCTCCAGGCCACTCATTCAACAATTATTTATTGAATACTTCCATGATCCAAGTATTGTGCTAAGCACTTTATAAACATTCCATTTATATGTTACCAAGTGTATATATAGAATCATAAAGGGGTAGAGCTGAAAGGACCTTAGTATTTAGTACTAACCTCTCACTGAATGGAAACAAAAGGAAATTGAGTCCCAGCAGGGTTTGGTGGTTTGCCCAAGGTCACAGAACTATTTAAGTGCAGAATTGAGCCCTAAGTAGTCAAGTTATGGGGCAGGTGAGAGTTGGTAAGTCTAGTCGTTAAGGCAGGCATTTCCTGTAGAGCTCAGTAATTCTGGAAGTGGTTGAGAACAATCTGAAAATGGAGAATTTGAGAAGGACTTTTTTTTTGTGGACAGGAGAGATAGCATGTAATTCATGTTTATTACAGATGAGGAATGCATCTTATTTGCAACCTACTGCTGTAAAAAGTATTTTAGCAAATAGGAAACTATCCATTAGCCATAGTAAGGGCATGAACAATGGCGTGGATGATCTAAGTCACCTGGATTTGCTATGGGGTAAAATTTTTTGTCCCACTCTTAGATTTGATTGTGGCTGTAAACGATTTGAAAATTCATGCTTCAAGCCAAATCATGATTCTACACAATAGGAGTCCAACTCAAAGGAGGTAGGAAGTTTGAACTTTTCCTTTTTCTCTTTTCTACATTGCCCCTTAATTCTCTTAGCCCCTCAGAGGTGATGGGAATGGCCAGTTTCTTTATCCTGATGCAGAGAGCAGGTCCCTACTGAAGTGTCTGTCTTCTCTTTGCTGTCCTTGTCTACTGGATTTCTTTTTTGCCTTAGGTCGTTACAGGGCTTGTGGAAGGAGGTAATTAAGTTTTCTTTGAAAGACATCTTGTGATGATGATCCAGGGTGCAAGGAGAATACCTTGCTCCAGTTACTGAAATGAAACCATCCCTATAGTGGAGCAGCCTCCTCCAGTTTCTGCTGGGTTTGAGCTGCCTGTTAAATAAGTCAGTGGATTTGCTGAGGACAAGGTAGCCATAGGGGAAAACCAGACCATTTCTTTGGTGGTAAGGCCTTTTATCTGGAGAATTGATGAGACTATCATCGTGGGAATCTGTCTTCTGTTCTGGGCATTGCCTGGGCAGCTGACCTCCCATGGCTGTTGGATGAGGTAAAAACCATCTAGAGGAGATGAAGGCGTTTGCAGAGGAGCCGTGCAAAGAGCTGAAGAGCTGGGAAAACTGATTGTGAAGCTTGGGGCCAAGGACAGCAGCTGCAGAAAAAGCTCTTGAGTGTCCAGCTAGAACAGTGCAGGAAGACTCATCACTGAGAGGGCAGGCCCTGTGGTCTTCAGGAGCCACCAGCCCCCTTCCACTGCTTGTATCCTGCCTGTGGTGGTGTTCTGCTCTGAACACCAGAAGTTGTCTTGGCTTCAGTAACCTTGGAGTGGGGCTGAGACTGAAGTTGGAGACAAAGCATCTTACGTCATGCAAGGGGTAGCTGAGCTGTCGTGATAGGAGACAAGGACTCTCATGCTGCCAGGTTGGGTCTGGTGGCCTGTAACAAGAGTCCGGAAGGAGTAGGGAGGATTAGTATCTTTGACTAAGACTCATATAGCACCAGGGAAGATCTAGGTGCAGGGTCCACATGCTGTGAACTCACTCTCTACTGGCCGTTCCTGGTGAAGACAGTTGTTAGGAAGTAGGCCGATCGATGGGCCAGGGCAGACAAGAGACCCCGAGAAACCTCTGCTACAGTGGCCAGGCCCACAGAGGCACATTGATGGCTTTGTGCATGTTGATCGAGTTCCACCCAATGATCTGTCTACACAGCAATTCCAGAGACCCTGCTTTGGCTTGGAGCTGCCTCCCTACTTCCTGCAGCTGGTGATTGGCTCAGCTGAGGCTCAGTTTTCAGTCTTACCTCTAAGCTGATGCTCGGGGTCTCCCCACTGGTGGGGGAGGGAGGAACAGGACCCAGGCTGGCCCTTCACGGTGGTGTCCTCTCCTAGGAGCCATGCGGGGCCAGCGGAGCCTGCTGCTGGGTCCTGCCCGCCTCTGCCTGCGCCTCCTTCTGCTCCTGGGCTACAGGCGCCGCTGCCCACCTCTGCTCCGGGGCCTGGTACAGCGCTGGCGCTATGGCAAGGTCTGCCTGCGCTCCCTGCTCTACAACTCCTTTGGGGGCAGTGACACCGCTGTCGACGCTGCCTTTGAGCCTATCTACTGGCTGGTGGACAACGTGATCCGCTGGTGTGGGGTGGTGAGTGATACCCAGGGGCAAGAAAGGGGATATTTTGGGGTAGCAGAGGGACATCTGTCTGAAGAACCTACACTGGGTTTGGATCCACACCTGCCTCCTACCCCAGGGAAATTCCTGAGTCTACTCTGGGTGTCGGTGAGCTCTCTCATGCGTCTACCTGACCTCACTGGTGTTGGCAGGTGTTCGTGGTGCTGGTGATCGTGCTGACCAGCTCCATCGTAGCCATCGCCTACCTGTGTGTCCTGCCCCTCATCCTCCAAACATACTCAGTGCCACGACTCTGCTGGCATTTCTTCTACAGTCACTGGAATCTGATCCTCATCGTCTTCCATTACTACCAGGCTATCACCACTCCACCTGGATACCCACCCCAGGTGGGTCCCCCCACAGGGGCATGTGGGAGCCGGTCCCGGGGGTTGGGAGGGAGAGTGCCTTGGTATTTTGGGGTACAAAACTAGTGCTGCCACAGCTGTCATGGTGCTTTTCTCCCTCTGCGCAGGGCAGGACTGATATCACAACAGTCTCCATCTGTAAGAAGTGCATTAACCCCAAGCCAGCCCGAACACACCACTGCAGCATCTGCAATAGGTGGGTCTCTGGGAAGCCCAGCTGCGGCCCTTTTGCTGTAGCCCTAGGGCAGAACCTAGACATGGGGCTGGACAAGACATTTATGAGGCACCTGTCATGTGCCAGCCAGTGTGCCCTCTGTACAGTGACACCTGACCTCAGGATGGTCCTGCAGGTTAGTCATTATCGCCACTTGTGGACAGTGAGGTTCAGAGAGATGGGCCAGGGTGGGCGGGAGACTTTGAGTTACTTTGTCCAGTGTCACGTAGCCAGTGAAGCTAGGTTTGAAGCAAGGCCTGGCTGTCCTCAAAGTCTGTGCCCTTTCCACCTCAGCAGGATGCTGGTCCTTGTAGAGAAGGATTGGCACTGACATCTCAAGAACCTTGGCCACCGTAACAGAGCCTGTGTCCCTCCCTCACAGGTGTGTGCTGAAGATGGATCATCACTGCCGTATCCTTTTATTGTCTTTTCTGCCTGAGGCCTCCTTCTTTAGCTCCAGAGCGCTGAGGTTTACAGGCTGCAAACCCAAGGCTTCTAGCATCACCCTACAGAGAGCACTGGGCTCATGAGAAGTTAGTGGAAGAGCGGTTGTGGGGCTGACCATCTTCTGGGAAAAGGAGGAGGCTTGCAGACTCTCTGGGATGGATCTTGGAGTTAGGCATCTATTCGAACAGTTCTCTCTTTTGTGGACTGTCATGCTAACATCTATTGGATGGAAAGAGATGTTTGGTTCAGTGGTTGTCCAGTGGGTGTCCAGTTACAACCATTGGTCCCCTTTTGCTGTCCCACATGGATGTCTGGGTAACCCCAGCTAGGCTGAGGTGTTGGCAGATTCATTTTCCTGAAGGATTTCAGTTTTATGATTTCCTAGTGGGATTTGTGAGGGCTCTGAAAAGCTTTAACACTTTCACCTCAACCTCAGGGAAGTCCCATATTTTCCTGCCTTTGGAAAATAGCTTTCGGTGCCCAGAAGCCCTCGGCTTGGATGATGTCATCATGAACCAAGGATGAACCAGAGGAGCCTAAGACACCCCCTGAAGTTGTGTTTGGTCTTGTCCTTAATCCTTCCCCTGCCAGCCTGGCTAAACAACTGTGTGGGCCACTATAACCATCGGTACTTCTTCTCTTTCTGCTTTTTCATGACTCTGGGCTGTGTCTACTGCAGCTATGGAAGTTGGGACCTTTTCCGGGATGCTTACGCTGCCATCGAGGTGAGCCCATAGTTAGAAGCAGGGCAGCTCAGCAGAGAGCTTTGGGGTGTGGAATCTGTCCTGAAGAAGTGGGGCTGGTAGCACCCCCCATCCCAGAGGCCTAAGAGTATAACCAGCACTGTTTTCCATCCTCTTAGAAAATGAAACAGCTCGACAAGAACAAACTACAGGAGGTTGCCAACCAGGTGGGCCGTCCCCACCCCATTGCCTCCTGCTGCTCAGGCCAGGGGTTACAGAGCTGCTGAGGCAACTGAGGGGCCCACCTGCGGCTGAGTTGTAGAGACTGGATCGGGGTGTTCTGGGGGGCTGTCTGCCGTGGGCCAACTAAATGACCTGCGAGCAAGCTGGGAGTCCCTGGTTTGTGGCAGTTTTTGGCTCTCTATCCCATTATCACCTTCTTTGGGCTGAGCAAGGGCTCTGCCTTGGTGATGGCCTGAGCAGCAAGGAGTCTATGTTAGTTTGTGTAATGGGGTTCCAGGGGACAAGGGTCAGGCTGGGCCAGTCTAATCATCCTTTGCTCCTGGTCTGTCTGTATCCGCATCAGGATTGTCCCTTCTCCCCGGGCCTTTTAGAGTTCCTTATTCTGAGCAGATCTTGGGCTTGTGATTTTACCTGTACTGCCCTTTTGGTCCTTATGGAGCTCACAGTTCTCTCTCTCCAGTCATTCCATTCTGGATGTGGGTCTGGTCCCCTCTCTTGGGGATTGCAGCCACACAGTGGAGAATTCTAGCTGGGATGTGGAGTGGCTTCCCCTGGAGCCCCGTTTGTGTCGTCAGAGCTAAAGGCTCAGGGTTGGCCCCTCCTGTGCTTTACCATCCTGTCCAGACCTGCTCTGCCCAGTGTTTGTCCACATGATGATGCCTCCGGGCTTGGTCCACCCTTCTGGCTGCTGCCCTGACTCCTCTGTGGCTTAACCCCCCGTTTTCTCATCCTGGGCTTGGATCACTTCCCTGCCTGAAAGTGCTGGGCTCTGCTGGAGACCAGCGGAGCAAATGAGCCAGACTTTGTTTCTTTTTCTAGACTTACCACCAGACCCCACCACCCACCTTCTCCTTCCGAGAAAGAGTGACTCACAAGAGTCTTGTCTACCTCTGGTTCCTGTGCAGGTACCGAACTCCCATTTTTGATAGTTTGTGTGGGGCAGCTTCAGAAAAACCTTTTTAGGTGCCCACACACAGGCAGGAACCCATCCCTGTGTGAACTGCTGCTGTTCTTAGTCTGGTTTAGGTTGCAAAGAGTAGTGCTTAATTTTCCTCAGCATTTTGAGGCAGGGAACACTAAGGATATTGGCACTGAGTGTTAAGTGCTAAGGGAAATTAAACTCCCATTTAAAGGGTAGGTGCCTTTCATAGCTGAGGAAAATTGCAGATGTGAGCAGTGAGGTGATTTGTTCCATGATACACAGCTAAGAACATAGAGCTGGAATCTGAGTGTTGTGCCATCTCATCCTAACCCCTGGTGCTATTATCACCCTCTCCTGTCTCCCAAGCGTGGGTATTTTAGGAAATAAGTAATGTTTTTATTACTGTTTCCCTGTCTTCCTTTCCACATAGTTTATTCTTAGCCCCTGTTGATGCTTTTTCATGGATGCTGTTTATAGATGCAGTGAAGTAAAAGTTCATCTTGCGTGCATAGGCTGGGAGATAAGGAAGACTTAGGCAGAGGTCCCTAGCTAATCACTATTGCTCAGCTCTATTTCAGACCTACTACGGCCTCTAACCCCCTCTATGCTACCCAACAGTCTTTGCCCCTCTTTCCTCAGTTCCGTGGCACTTGCCCTGGGTGCCCTAACTGTATGGCATGCTGTTCTCATCAGTCGAGGTGAGACTAGTATTGAGAGGCATATCAACAAGAAGGAGCGACGTCGGCTACAGGCCAAGGGCAGAGTGAGTATGGCCGGGCTTGGGGTGGAGGGGCGGGTGGGTAGCTGAACTTGCCATCCTGTAAACAGAGGCCATGGTCAGGGCCAACTCAGGCAGGCATCAAGGCCAGACCTTATCTTGTTAGTTTAGGCTCAAACTGGTTTAAGTAAAAGGGTTTGTAGAAACACGTTTTTCTTGGCTCTAGGTTTTTAGGAACCATTACAACTACGGCTGCTTGGACAACTGGAAGGTATTCCTGGGTGTGGACACAGGAAGGTAAAGTAAAACATCTAGACCAGCACTGTCCAGTGAACTGTGATGAGGAGGATGTTCTGTACCTATGCTAAGACATTAGCCACTCACTGGTGACATGTGGCTTTTGAGCACTGGAATCGTGGCTCATGTATCAGTGAATTTAATTTTTAATTTTATTTTCTTTTCAGTAATTTAAATAGGCACGTGTGGCTAGTGGCTACTATATTGGACAGTGCACATCTAGGCTCTAGGAATAGAGATCGTTGCTCATTTGAGTCAAAGGGGCTCAAGGCCAAAACTCGTTTAAGTAGCAGATGAGAATTAAAGATGACTATGAGAGTGTCCTGAGAAAGCTATTCTGAAGGGACCTTTAGTTAGGGTATGTTGGCTACCAGTCACCTCTCATTTGTATGGCAGTGTCTGGCCTTCAAGTCAATAATTTGTGAGATTGAAGTTAATCTATTTGTGATAGAGATCCTAAGACAATAAATGAGGCTAGCTCCCTCAGCCCAAGACACAAAGGTAAACCATTTTTCAAATTGCAATAAATGAGGCAGGAATAAGTAGGTGGCCGCAAGTACCTGCCCTTCTCCCTTTCTCACCCTCGTTAGATTCCTGCCTGTCATTGTGCTTGCAGTGGCCCCTTCAAAGTTTAGCTCAAAACCTCTAAAGGTCTTCAAGGCATCAGCAGGTACATTTATTGGACAAAGTTACTTTTGTGATGAATGCCAAGGTAGCTTCAGACTACCCTGATGTATCCTTGCTGAGGAAATGAAGATCAGGAAGGAAGACCAGGAACTCTTGGGTCTCAGAAGTATCTCTGTCTTCTCTCGTAGGCACTGGCTTACTCGGGTGCTGTTACCTTCCAGTCACCTGCCCCATGGGAACGGAATGAGCTGGGAACCCCCTCCCTGGGTGACTGCTCACTCAGCCTCTGTGATGGCAGTGTGAGCTGGATAGTGTCAGCCATAACTCGAGCATCACCCTGCTTCCTGCGTTGCCTCAAGGGCCTCCAAGGATAGCTTCTGGAAACCCTCGAGCAAAAAGAGCCAGTGGGCCTGCCACAGGGTATTATGCAGGGACAATTCAAGGACCAGTATCCTGGCCATTGCAGAAGCAAGGCACAACGTGGAAAAATCCTAGGACTGATGTCCCTTTACTCAGGCAAACAGAAGTTCCAGCCCCAGACTGGAGATTAGGCAGCTAGCAACCTTGCCGGGTGCTGACCCCAACCTCCTCCAGGTTACAGCACCGAGGTTGGCCACCACCTCTTCCATTTGCTGTCTGAGAAAACACCTGAATGGTAGAGCTAAGATCCTGGCTTCTCAACAGGGCAAAGATACCAGGCCTACTGCTGAGGTCACTGCCACTTCTCATGTGCTGCTGAAGGGAGCAAAAATAAAGGTATTTGATTTTTAAAGATACGCAGCTTTTCATTCTTTGCCTTTCCTGTGGGTCAGGGAAAAGGAGATTCAGGGTCAGGGCCTGGCGAGTAGGTGTCCTGGTCATGCCAGCTGGGCTCCACTTGGAGGGCTGGATGCCCTGAAGAATTTCTAGCTGATTCCTATCATTACTGTTCCTCTAGCTTATGCAGTGACACTGCTGAGGCGTAAGTGGGGAGAGGCAGATAACTGACAGCCCCATTAGCAAAAGAAATCTTTATTCTCCAGTAGGTACACACACACCCACCATCCCTGGTCCTCAGGGCCACACTCATCTGCATTCACTCCCAGCAGCATATCCCCCTTTCTCTGACATATAAATGGAAGAGCTCCAAGACCAAGATCATTCTTCAAACACAAACGGTCTCATACTCAGTTACTTCACAAATCCTTTAGAAATCAGGGTTCCTATGTTTCTTGTACAGCCATGCGACAGAGGCCCAACATTTGTTCTGTGTCTCTGGGAAAGGCAATCAGAGGCCAGTGGCCTCCCTGCCTTGGGCAAGATGGCTCAATAGTTAGTAATTTCAGGTTAGATGTCTGTTAGAACAGTCTAGGCCAGGATGAACCCTCGTTCAGCTGCCTGGGCTCCCCAGCAGAAACCTGCAGGCAAAAACAGTGTTGACAGCATTAGTGGTGAGCCTTGTTTCAATCCCATCTCTCCCTGTGACCTCAAACTCACCATTCTCCCCTGGCTGATACTGCTTCCTTACGCACCAGTCTCTTCTTGTCATCCAGAGGTCTGGCTAAGGCCCGGATCACCTGCGGTTTATACGGCAGCAGCTGTGGAGTTAGAGGAGCTAATCTGAGCCTCGTCCAACCAAGATAACTGAAAAAGCTGCTGCTTTGACTCTACAATGCTCTTCCTATTCTTCTTTAGTGATTCCAGAGGAGGGTACGCAGGAGGCTGGCCATTCTATTACAGGGCAGGCAGGCAAGTCCTTGCCTATCTGTACCCTGTAGTTCATACCTCGGTCACACAGCAGGGTGGCTAGTCCTGCTTGACTAAGGCAAAAAGGTACCTCTGGCTTTTCTAAGATGCTTCCAGGCCAGAGAGGGACATCTGAGGTACTCACCACAGGGGTGGGCAGGCGGGTCAGAGCGTGCATACACTGCAGTGCAGCGATCCGGACAGCCTGCAACACAATCGTAATCACTGGTGACGGGAGACCCATGAATGGGAGACGTACGTGCCAAAGAGTTGTTGAGGCTCAACACACCATGGAAGGGCTGGAGCTGAGGTTCAGGAACTTGGTGACGAGGGTGTCGATGTGAAGACTCATGACCTGGGGTGCTTCCAGCAGAAGAGGCTGAAGGCAGCTGAGGGTGGAGAGCTGTACC